GAAAGAATTCAAGTTATCTACAGTTTTACTATATAAGCAGAGAATATCTGTAGCTCTACGTATAATTCCTAATAGTTAGACTGGTATAAGGGTGATATTTAAATCTAAAAAAAAACACACTTCAGAACCAGATAAGAAGGCTGAAGGAACCTAGTGATCCAGAATCATTTATTCATCAAAATACTTTGCAATGACTGTGACGTCAGTTACACAGCTCACACTAGTAAATCAGTTGTAGTCAGACTATCAGAATATAAGAAGTGTAGAAAGACTGGCTCCATAAAAATATATTAGTTTGGGGAAAAACTCATCAACCTCAATACATGCACTAGGTCAGCCACATATTAGCGTGTGGCAGAGCTATACTTCTCAAACGTAATAAAGGTAGAGGGAAGAAGAAGCTGATTACTGAATCTTTGTCCATCGAATCCACACCAAACACGTTCAGTGGAAATGATGTAACGCCAATTGCAGAGATATGAAAAATGTCTGTACCAATAAAATAAATAGATAAGAAATAATGGAATTACACGAAAGAAGTCCGATAGTTATGTGAGTGACTTGATATGATTTTGAGTGATAAATTATGCTCGAAACTTAATGACTACATATGTAACGACAGAAGGCAAGAGTCAGGCAACAGATCATTTATTAAGGAAATCAACACATATTTATATATTTTCATGTACATTACTATGGATATTTAAGTAAACAAACACAGTCTTCCGATTGGTTGTTTCTCACGTAAAGTTAATCTTTCATATATTTGTGACTGTTTCTTGAATGTCAAATCCTCTATATGTTAACTGCATCCGCCATCGTCAAAGTCTGCTGTGGTCGGTTTTGAATCAATCTTTGTTCACATTTTCTCATGACAAATCTTGGGAACGTAAATATTGACGTAAACTACTAGCTACCAATTTGGCTAGTAGACAGCTCTCACCACACATAATACTGTATCACCGTGTGGTTTTCTCATTGAGCAAATAATCTTATAGTGCATAGTTGGCACAGCGGTAGAATGCTCGTCAACTATGCAAGTGGTTCGGGGCCCGATCCCAGGCTGCCGCACACCGTTACCTAGTTAAGCCAGTAATAAAACTGGCAAAGAGGGAAGGTTGGATGTGACGCGGCTGGCAACCTCATCACGTAAAATAAATACCACTGTGGTGAGAGCTGTCTGCAGGTCAAAATTGTAGACAACAATTCACGTCAATGTTTGCGTTCGGGTCATGAGAAAAGACAATAACAAAGCATAACCTTGAGAAACTCACCAACCAATCACAACAGACTTGA